TGAAATGTGACTGGAAACATTAAGGCACTTGCTATTTTGCATTGTACTTATTGAAGTACTAATTGAAGAAATGAAAAAGTTAATATTTTAGAAAATTCTGTCATGTTGTATAACTTTTTCTGACATCGTTGCCAGAAGATCCTTTTCGTTCATGTCTAGTACTTAACGAACAGAGTACATATATTGTAATGGAAGTGTTATTGTTTTGGATAAGTCACAAGACATTCTGATATTCTTTATATGCTCTTAATTATATCATTAATTGAGTTCCAAGTAAGGGAAACAAAATCTTTGTAATTTATAGAGTTGAGAGTGTTTGCCTATTGGTCTTGACAGCCTGGGATTTCTGTGCTCTGAACTAGTCCATGCAACATGAAAGGATGCTTGACGTTCCTTAGTTCTGAAAATAAAATACTTGTATTAGTAGGCTTCAAATTTTAAATTTTTTCCTTTTTTTCTTTTCCCCCAAAGTATCTTCTGTAAAAGTTGTGTGATTTCTTCTGGCATTAAGAGCATGGTATTTTTTTCTCATCTGGTCCTGAGCATCTGCATTCCTGTTCAAGAGGGTGGAGAACGGAGTAAAGAATAATGTGTAAATATTATTTTAAAAAATACACATGACAGATTTTTCTAACAGGTTAATGATGTTAATGTAATTACACTGAGTCTGAAATTAACAACTCTTTGTCAGGCAGCTGGAGTGGAGTACATGAATTGGGAGCAAGTCGGAAGAGAAGAGATATGCAATTGCATGTCGTTAAATTTGCACAAAAAGTTTGAGGAAGGAGCTAGGTAATTGTTTTCAAATCGTGACAGGACTGCAGAGAGAGCATTCTTTCCTTTAAAAAAATATAAAAATATAAAATCTGATTAGTAGGGGCTATAAATCAGCTCTATTCTTCTGAAGGAGGAAAGCAGCTCCAGGCGTGCCCCCATCCACTTTGGGCAACTGGCAGAGGAGTGAGTTAGTAGAGCGGTTACTCTGGGGTTGTAAATTGAAGTCAATGAGACTATGACAGTTCATAGTGGTGGAGGATGTACCACCTCGAAGACTGCTGATCCCACATTGCGCGTCTTCCAAGTAGTCCTTGGAGGATCCTCAGGATTGCTGCAGTCTGCTTCTGCTTAGCTTGCAAGATCTGACAAGGATCACAGCCCAAGGTGGGAAGTTTGCTGGCATAAATAATACTGTCTGTATCCTCAGTTTTCTGATTCAGCATTTTGGGTGTCATTACTTTACAGGGAGAGGGCTTCTAAACGGGAGGACAGTGCTTCTTCAAGGGACAAGTATATTGAGTTCTGGAAGAGGTGGGAGGTATGAGGCTGGGGAGGACTCAGCAAACCACAAGTTTCCCTTTATGATCTTGGAGGTATCAGAAGACTCTGAATGTTTTCCTGTTTCTCGTAGCTTCCTGATCTTTGTGCATCTGGTTCTATGGATTTGATTCTTAGTTGAATCAAAATGAGATTTGCAGCCTCGGAGTTGAATTTATCTTTTTCCCATCACGTGTTAAAAATGCCACTGTATCTGTGTGTTTACCCCTGGCAGGACACATACTCTTGAAAATTATTGCTGGGGAGGTTTCATGTGTGTGACAGAAAGCTTTGCAGAATACCTCCAGAGCACACCTCTTCCTGGAATTGCCCCTGTTCAAAAGCCAAAAGGTTCCTGCTGCGTGGGAGCTGCGTGCTCTGCACAAGCAGAGCAGCAGAGTTTAATTCCTGCAGCGGCGACTGGGCTGTAGTGCAGACAGTTCACTGTCAATTAGTGCCCTTTGCAGTGTTTGGCCTTCTTTGTTCTGAAATAATTGCTGTTATCATAGATGTTTTATTGCCTTCATTATGGTTAACATTTAAATATCAATGAAATAGTATGCTACTAAGTCATCTGCGCAATAGCTATCTGCTGAAGTTAGCCCTGAAATTTATGTTTAAGGAGTATATTAATTCACCACCGACTTAGAATTCTTAGGAGGAGGGTTATATATTTGTTGATGAGTTACGGGAAACCTTTGCTTATTAGGGGCAAAACCTGAGCTGCTCTCCACTGATAGTTTGCATAGAAATACTGCGTGATTGGAATAATGCTTTGGTTGTTAAATGGAAATATTTGAAGAAATTTTCAATATTTTTGAATCATCAAACCAGACAGTAAAGGCTGACCTTTCTGCATCCAGATGAAGAATTGCACTGGGAGACAGGGACTTGTTCTCCACCACAGTGCAGAAGGAAGCTCCCTGTCACCTCCTCTTCTGGCTGAATCCAGTCCATGTCCTTTTGACATCAGCAGAAAGTCTCCCCTGAGTTTCTGTGACTTCTATAATGTCATGTGTGACCTTTTCAGACATCAGCTTTGTATGTGACTTGATGTTTGTGAGCTGACTTCACGTGTGGCTTGCATTTGTCAGTGCACACCCAAAATCTTCCAACCAAGTACATAGCTCATTTTATGTAACAGGCAGCCGAGATGAAAGGTGAATTATATTTTTATGTTTACAGGAAAAAAAAAAAATACCACAACCAAAAATAACCCACTAGCCCTCCCAAAAAACCCCCACAATCAACAACTGGTAGTGCAATTGAAAATTTTATTTGTAAGCCCTCTTTGAACTTCCCAAACATGCATGTGCAGAAGCAAATAAGTACAGATATTGAGAAGTGGTTGTGTTAATATATATATGTGTGTGTGTGTGTATATATATACACACACATATATATGTGTATGCACCCTTACAGGAGGTTTTCTTCACTCTCTGAAGTTGTTATGCATGCTGGTTTTGGCTAACTGTCCACAGAGGGCTTTGGGTTGCATCACTGGCTCAAGAAGGTAATCAAGGAGAGGTTCAGTTTGCACCATATGAACTGCTCTAGCAGGGTGTTTCTGTTGTCTCATCGTGACACTACCAGGAACTCCAAGGTAGAACTTTTCAGCCCCATGGATGTACACTGATCCTGGGTTCGCTTCCAGCCCTGAAGCCACAGCAAGGCAGTGCCCTGTGCACACCGTGATGTGCAGCTGACGAAATGACATGGCTGAGAGCTCTAAGAGCTTACTCTGAGGTTTACTTCTGAGGTTGATGGTATTTCCATCTTCATCTTATCCAGTAAACTTATAGTAGACTGCAATTGGAGTCTTTGCATCTTGAGAAAGTGGATACACAAAACCGTACTTTGGTATGCCCATTGATTCCCACTACTTAGCTATGTGTTTCTTGTCCAATTTTTGGCAGCATCAAGTTTTCCAGAGGATCTGGGATGAATACTATACGTTATTCTGTAAACCACGATGCACTAAGCCCTACAGCTGTTATCAGCCTGGCATGTGTATGCCTGTGACTTGACTGACGCAAGTCTCTGGCAACAGATCCCACGTGCAGATTCCAGATTTGCAAAGATTTGCTGTTACTGACGTAGCTCACTCTGCTCATGGATTTGGAAAGCGAGGGTGATTTTGCTGTGTTGGTTCATTTTGCTGTCACATCTATGTCAGCCCCCCAAGCTGGCTCTAGACCAGTAGTGCATCCACCTGGTGCAGCGCTACGCTGAAATACCGTCTACGATCCTGCTGACAAAGTGCTTGTGTTCTGTCCTGCTGGGCTGCGTTGTGGCAGGGATAATTGCACGGCTGCCAGTGTTCGAGCCTGCTTACGCTCTTCTCCTGAGAGTGCCTGTGTGGGGCTGTGTCACCCTGCAGCCTCCTGGCATCTGTGCCTTCCTGTGCACCAGAGAAACAGTCTTAACAGGGTATAATCTAATTTAGCTTTCATCTGCTGATGTCGTAGATGATGGTTTTGCCAAGGGATTTCTAGGCAGAATTGTAAAAACGTTTAAGTTGGCACATGACTGAGAGGGGCTAGTTAACTGCCATAAAGCTCTGCAAGGGCCTTTGGTTAAATGTAAATACGTAGTATTGGAGCAACTGAGTAGCTCAGGAATGGGTAGTGTGCCTTTAGGTTGCTTCAGCAGGTATTTTCTTCAACATATACGCAAGCACACGAAAGCACTGCCTTCTACCAAAGCGATCCTGCGGCGTACTTTGCGCCTGATGTCAGCAGAGGTTGCTCCGTGCCGTGGTGCTGAGGGGCAGCAGCAGCCAGCAGCAGGACGTACCACGCTGGGACAGGGAACCATCACCAGCCCTGTCGGTTCTCATGACGAACTGGGCTACTGTGTTTGCAGATCTGGTGCGCTTGGGGCGTGGCAATCATGCCCTGTTGGAGTGCTTTCCATTTCCTGCGCCATCTTGATAAACTTTATAGCTTCTAATTTCCTAGAGAGTCATTGATGTAATTAGGAGCTGCATAAATGGTCGCAGCACACTCAGCTGATGATAATCGAGTCAGTTCATTTTTCATAAGAAGCACTAAAGGGGACCCTAACAGCAGCTGAGATCATTTTCTCTTTAGGCTCTGCTTTGATAGAGCAGCAGAAATCCTTACATGCCTGGGTCATGACATGTTTTATTAGGGTCAATTCCACTACCCATATATTTTTTCATAAGGAAACCAAAGAAAGGGTGCCCATCCATCTGTGTGTTTTCAGAAGGGCAGTTCGAGCTGTCTGTCCACGGAAGCTGGCTGTGTTAACCAGCCTGCGAGAGTCAACAGCTCTCTCTTTGTGTGAGAGTGAGCACTTCTAAGCGCAGAGCTTTGATATTGCGACGCGCGGGTTTAACGTTCCTCCACTCAAGTTGCACCAGATTTTCTAGCAAAGTGGCAGCTTAACCAAAAAGTCTGGATCCATTCCAGTAGCCGATAAAATCTCATCTCCTGGGCTCCTTGGTACTCAGACATGGTAAATAACAACCTTTATCCATTCTTAGGCAGCTGCTGGCTCCTTTGCCCCAACGGTATCATTCATTTGTCACAAATTGTCTGCAAGTACTGCTCGCAGCCTGGCAGATTTATTACCAAGAGGTTTAGCAGCTTGTTTCTGTAAATAGTATGCTGGTGAAGAAATGTAAATAATTGATCTATTATTCTCTTTTTTCCTCCTCACAGCACTCTCAACAACAACAACATCACCCGCATTCCTGTTACCAGTTTCAATCACATGCCAAAGATCAGGACACTGTGAGTAATATCTTCAGATATAATAATGATGATGCAAGACAACTGTTTGGATGTTGGTCATCTTGAGATAATTTTCTTTCGGTCTCTTCCCAAGATGACCAAATCACCCTGTTTGGACAGAGACTCCCATAGCCACGACGTCACTGGGGCAGGGGCTTGGAGCCCCGGGTTGGGCTGTGTTGGGGTCCTGGGCCAAGGCAGGGGGAGCAGGGGTTGTGGGGGTAGCTGGTGCCCTGCCTGGCAGCAAGGTTACTGAGTTTACTCAGGGATGAGTAAGATTCAGTTTTATTGAGGTTTTGAATTCACCCAGAAATTAAGCTGACTTTTTTTTTTTTTTTCCTCATTTTCCCCAATGGGAAAAGTCTGTAATGTGAAATGTATTCTGAGCTGGAACGTCATCAAAATTGTGAAAACCACTCAGATGGTTCAAAGTTATTTAATTTTTGTTAATATCCTGTGTTTAGATCCTATTTCTTCTTTGCAAATTCAGAATAGTAACTTCTGGAACAAGAAGGTTTTTTAGGAACTTGTAAAAAGCTCTTTTTCCAGAGACTTTCTGAAACAAAATGTCACTGGTTCTGATGCTTTTTTTTTTTTTATAAAAAGCTTCTCTGACATCAAATCAGTTTTTCTATAACTGGACACTGTTCCACTGGAAAAGCTTTGATTTGCCTTAGTAGACCAAAACACATACTGTGAAATTAGACTGTGTATAATTCATAATAATTGTATAATTAGCCATAGCTTACCAAAACATTTCCTTTACATGTGTTATTTCTTTAAATTCCTTTAGGGAAATATACAACTTTGGGAAAAATCATATTTAAACAAAGTCTTTTTATTCCTCTACAAGCTCAAACTCAAACAAGATGTGTTTAGTCCCAAAAACAAAGAAAGGGAAATAGTAGCTAGCCTAAAAATTTTCCAGGGCACTAAAAAAAATAAAATGCATCAAGGATGCTACATATGCACGTTTAAAACCGTATGAAATAAGTTAACAGAACTGAAGAAAAACAGCTCTTACACATGTCAATCTATGTGAGACAACCCCTGAATTAAATTTACGTTCTTTGTTAAATGGTGACATTCACAGATCTTAATGTCACTGGTTAAATGGAAGTTGGCTGTTTGTCTTTTTCAGAACAGAATGGATAAAGAAGATAAAGGTGTAGGGTTAAGGTTCCTCGAGTTGTGCCTTTTCTCATTCAGTCACAGTGTTTCAGAAAATTTGCCTGGCTTCTTCAGATTAGTCAGTCCTGTCTATTATGAGAGCTCAATGCCTTCTGTCATCTTCCTTTTAGTTTAATTTCGGAGATGGCTTTGTATATAGCTCCCTGGAGACTTACACTGACTAATCCCTTTCTGCTGTAATTAAGGAGGGGGGGGAAAAAAAGGAAAAGAGAAAAAGAGAAGGGAAGGAAGTCATAAATAGGATTTATAAAGGGAAGCTTTTATATTGAATTCTGAGAGCCACATTTTATAGGACGTGAATGCTGACCCACTCTAAAAGGATTTGCTGGAAATTTAATTTAGGGTCTACGGCTAAAAGGGCACCTTTGCAAACTTGCATTCGTATTCATTCACCTCATATTCTGTAGAGGTAGTTTCATCAATACCGACTGGCATGTTTGAGTCTCCAAAGACTGCCAAATAACACGTGGTATCCTTTCTAGCAGTTCAATATAGGAATTAAAAAATCCCACGCAGACAGGTAGAAATACAGGTTTTGTTCTCTACATTTTCTTCTATTTGTTTCAAGAGAGGCAGAAAAGTCATCAAAATAGCAATTAATGTGAGATAAATACAGGAATCAAATAGCATTGAATCATTTCTTCTACTGTTCAATCATATTAAAAATTCTTCCTCTATCCCCAAATTATCTTAACCCTTTTAACAATTAATTCTTAATCAATTATAATTATTAATGAAACAAGTTTCCTTAGCTATGTAATACTCATTATTTTCATAATATTTTCTCTTCAGAATGTAGGCATATGCTGTTTTGATTTAACCAAGTCTTGGGCAGATTGATAGTAATACCTCAACAACACCTGAGCACATGTAAGACTGATCATGTTTGGTTCACCTATGTTAAATATTTATACACAGATATTATTTGGGGGGAATTTTTAACGTTCTCTCTAGCTGCCTGAGCTTTATATCACCTGATTAACCTGCATTAATATACAACCTCAGCAAACAGTTGACGTGAAAGGAGAAAGCTGTCTGAGGCACAATGGTTGAATAAGATCTACTTTTTTAATCTTTTGGTAGTTGATACAAATCCAGTCCAAATGGATGATGAATGGTGCTCAGTACAGTTTGGTGACTCTCCTCTTCTCTTAAAAAATGCTCATCAATTTGTACACCTTCTCAAAGAGCTTCATGCTTTAGGTGTGGGGTTGGTTGGGTTTTTTGGTTTTTATTTTTGGGTTTTTTTTGTGAGACTCGTTAGCAGGATATTTGGGGCTGATTGTGCTGCAGCTGCATCTGCTGTGACAGTTCTGTGGATAAATAGCTTTTTCTTCATGGCTTTGGAAACAATCTGCTCGTTTAAGAAGGGCAGGGAAGGAGCAACGAAGACCATGTTCAACTTGAACGTGACCTGTCAGGTTAGAAAAAAAAAATAAAAGAAGAAAGAAAAAGAGAGAAAAGTGCATTAAAGAATTCTTTTTAAAATACCAACTCTTCTGTGCTAACCTTTTTTATTTAACTGTCTTTTCTGTTGCTAAGTTTCATTGATCTTTTAGCCTTGATTGGAAGTAAAGGAATTAGATTTTATTGATCTGCTTTCTTTTGCTTGAAACAGCTTTATTTATGTTAAAGCATGTCCCCTCTACTTATTTGCTTAATAAGCATCCAGTTGTCTCTGCATGTGAGTGACTGCTCAGATAGGTAATTGCGTGATTACTTTTTTTTTCTTTGAGTAAACCGAAAATGTACCAAATCACTTCAGTGCTTCTCATGTTTATGGGGAATTAGTGTATTACACTTTTGAAGTACTGTAAAAAGTCTTTTTATGGCAATAATAATAATAATTGTAAAAAAAAATGTTGTAACAGGCTGTTTTGTTGACCTTGATAGGCTTTCTGAATGGTCTCCTCTCAAAAACAAGCTCTAGAATATCCATGCAAAAAACTTGAGCAGATGACAAGGCAGGGCTGGCGGAGAGGTGACAGTTTGCACGAATAAAATCGTAAAACCCAGAAACCAGCTATATGCATTTAGGAACGGGGGAAGGAGAGGGGGAGAAAAACCAACCAGCCAGACATAACCATTGCAGAACTGTGAAACTGCCTCCTTTTGCAAAGTTTTGGTTTTATTACCCCTGCCTGCCTACATCCATGCAGGGGATGCAGGGAACGGCACGGAGTGAGCTCTGTTTCGGTTCCTGAGGGAAGCTGATTCTGAGGGTCGTTGCTGACTGCTCTAGTGGGAAGGGATTATACTTTGAGGATTTAACTGAAATACTTACTCTTTAAGTTAGAACAAAGCCTTACTTAGGATGGTTTCTGGCTAGATGATATTTGTTCTCTTCTCTTTGTAGATGTAGTTATTTGTTCCTTCAGACAACAGAATTGTTCCAGGAGGATTAATGGTTCATAATAACAAAACATTTTACTATAAAATCTAACTTACTGCAGTGACAATTAAATAGCTTCGTAATGCCTAAACACAAGGTCTTCTGGCCATCCTTCTGAAAGAGTTATGTTTTACAGTGCTCCCAGGAGACTAGCGTCTTCCATCTCGCCAGGGTTAGCTCTCAGTTCCAGATTTGTGGTCTCTTACCGTGCCTGCCCACCTCAGACGTACAAATCTGTCAGCCCAGGCGCCGCCGCTGACCTGCGCGGCTGCTGCCGTGCCAGGGCAAGATCTCGCAGAGACGCTTAATGCCTTTGGTGGATGGACAAGGCTAAATCCTGTGCATGCCAATTGCGTGGGGTTTTAAAAATGTAATGCCTATAATATTAGTGAATAATGCTTTGCCTAACTGGTTCTGACAGGGTTTTCAATCTGTTTTATCATTTTAGTATAACACTGCAGATGTATGACTCATTACAAGGAGTGAAGTAATTAGCGTCACGGTCCTTTTTGGTTTGACCTCAAGTTTGATGGCTATTAAAATTACCAGATTTGCTCCCTGAATGCATCATCATTTTGTAGACTTGCCCCCGCAATGTGATAATGCTTCGGCAAGTCTCTAGTGGCAGGCGTGGAGCAGGCTGGGAAGGGAGCTGCGTGGTTAGATTTTCCATTACAAAGAACAGCTCCAGCATTGCTATGTGGCGTGACCCTGTCATTGTCCCATTCTTCATCGTGAGTCGAAAATTCCCATCTAGAACCTGCGTCCTTGTGCTTAATTGCTACAGTAAAAAGGACATCAATGAATTTGTACAGACAACACGGGAACATACAAGGTATCAATAATGTGGGGGATTTCACTCTCTTACCCGAAGGAGAAAGAAGAGGGAAGAATCGCCTGTTCTCCTGTTTTTCAGCCTGGCCTTCGTGTTTATACAAGCCATCGTGTGCACTCCCTCAAAGATATCACATTCGTGCAGTTATTTTTGATATAAAACTACAGGCAAAGTGATTTCCTGGAGCAATCTTAAATCCTGCATGTTCTTTCCCCTAAAATAGCCCACTTGTGATTACCTGTAGGTGGGTAATTATTTCTCCTCATTCTTCCAAGACAGTATAAATAATAGCACTAATTTATACGTGGACATGTGTATATTAGATGGCAATGTAGGCAGTAAAGACCTGAGTCGGCTGCAACCAATTACCTGCAACGATCCTACATAAATCGTAGCAGAGAGCTGGACTGACTTGTACTTGCTTGCTCTGGTCTGTGTCTTCTGTTTGAAAAAACTGCTGCTAACTTGAGGGTTGTTCTGTCTTTTGTAGGCGGCTTCACTCCAACGTCCTGCACTGCGACTGCCACCTGGCTTGGCTCTCGGACTGGCTGCGGCAGAGGCGCACGATCGGGCAGTTCACCTTCTGCTTGGCACCTGTCAGCCTGCGGGGTTTTCTGGTGGCCGAGGTTCAGAAGAAGGACTTTGTCTGCACTGGTAATGATGCCAATTATTCATTTATCTATCAGCTGTTGGTTTTCTATTGATATTCACATAAAACCAATAAGGGGAAATTACTATGTTGTGTTTGGATGCCATTCTGTTGCAGTCCTGTTTGGTTTTATCATTGCTAAACAGTATGGGAGTAGATCAAATTGTTAATTTTTTCAGCTTTATAACAATTATTGGATTCCAGTTAACATTTCAGTTCTCAAGTTATTTTTTCTGCTTTAGCATTGCCAATGGTATCAACATAAGAAGTCAATTAAGTGTGGATAATTTTTTATTTCGCTAGGGAAGAGCTCTACAGCTGACTGGAATACAAAAGAAAGGAAATAGAAAATGCTGATCTGAGTCTGTTGATAAATGGTTGGACTTTAGAACATGAGAAGCAGATTTTGTCCTAGGGACTGAAACAGGATTCTTAGGGAGCCAGTGCACATTGCTGTTCTACAGGTTTCCACGCTGATAAATGAGGCTGATGATACACGGCCAACTCACAAACTCTGTGCCTGTACGCTGCGCCCATTCGTCGAGTCTCCGGAACTGCACTTGGCTCTTTTGTGACAGAAATGTATTTTCTTAGAGGAAGGAGAAAAAGAAAGAAAAGAGAGAGAGAGACATTGGAAAAAGAAATTTCTAAATTTGGCTAAAAACAAAGAGATCTGGGACAGGAGAGGCATGGCAGTGTGTATGCTGTTAAATAAAATTTAAAAAAAATTAAGAGAAGGTACGAGACACAACTCTGGAGATAGTTTTACAGGCCAAGTTGCAAGTAACACAGAGAGCTTGTTGTGAAGCCACTGTGAGTCCTAATCTTGATAGACTATGAGACTTTTGCTGTTGTGTTCTTTATCTCTCCCAGCCTGTGAGCCCTAAAGCTTTAACCTCTTGCTACATGGGTTGATTGATAGAAATACAGTACAAGTGCTCGTGCAAGAAATGTTTTTAGAAATGCCTTTTATCTATAGTTTCATTTACATGAGACAAAGAAACGGTTTTATTTAGAGAAGGAGGGTTTGACCCCCCCTTAACTATATCATGAACGGTAAATTAATGCCCAGCCCTGGAGGTGTTCAAGAAATGTTGTGGGCACATGGGACGTGAAGTTATGTACCAGAGATTTGTGTGACATAAGCAGCTTCTGTGGAGTTGTGGAGATTTTACGATGCCCGGAATATCAGATAAATTCCATCAAAAGTTTAACTAAAAGAAAAGTTTAGGAATCTAACAATCTTGGGAGAGGAAGGATAAAAGAAATGGATAATTGAATTAAGCTATTAGAAGAATCTAATTTTACCAGAGGTAAGCACAGCTTTTTTTTTTTTTTTTTAATGAATTGAAGTTTCAGATGGGGCATAAGTTCAGCTATTTGGATTTATGATACAGTGAAGGAAAAAAGAGTTGTTTAAATCAGGAGAAGAGATAATAATTGCTGAATGAGAAATGTCACATGGACAGAACTCACCTAAATGGAGTTTTCTGTGCAGACTATGACTTGCAAAAGAGAAAAAGGTTTATAAAGGTTGCCTGTTGGACCAAGAATGTATAAGAGAACTCTCAAGATTGGCCTGCTTTTATTAAAACATAAATTAATAAAAATTAAAAAAAGAAGCTTCCAGTGAGCCAGTCCATCAACTGTATCCCCTAGCACTCATTTGGGAAATGAAATATAGTGAAAAAGAAGTGCATTTGAAGAGCTCATTTTAGTTCAGGATTTAGCAGAGAACTCAGCTTTCAGTATCTGCTCGTTTGACAAAAACCTACATGGACAGCTAGTTTAAAGAGAATATAAATCTTCCCTGCTCCTTATTACAGTTCTAATTCCTGATTTTACAGCATAATTTGTCCATGTGTGACTATGAAGTCAAACTAGGACAGGATGTGAATAGTGAACTCAACTTGTCCCTCTGCAAAGGTGTTTTATACAATTTAAGCTTATATGAATCACTGTAACTAGCCTCAAGCTGGCAGTGAAAGCCACCTTTGCATCACAGTTATGAAGAACTGAATTACGGTGTAGCAAACTACTATTTGAGTATATGCTCAACATTTCAAGCACTTGTGTTTTTATGGCATTGGGAATATCATCCCAGCTTCATCAAAGCATTCCAGTTCCAAACTTGTGCTGTTGTATGCTTCAAGGCAGAAAGAGTAGAACTAAATAATTGGGGGAAAGAAGAGAAACATCTTTGAAAAACTGACTTCTGGTTATTCTTTGAACCCTATGCAAAAATAGGGTGGGGGTTTTTTATGTTTTTATGACACATATTCCTTTGGAAATAAATTTTGAATGCTACATACCAAGGAAAAGAACAAGTTAAAACCACTTACAGACAAGTGCCATAGCTGGAACCCAAATTGCCAGATTCCTTCTGGGCACTGTGCTGCCATCCTGTACACTGAGGTTCGTGAAGTGTTAGGTGCAAAGTCTCTGAAGATAATTTTGCAGAAGTCAGAGTTATGTGCAGCTACATCTGTGTCATACCTGTGTAAACCGAGAGTCAGTCTTTCAAGAATGTTGTTCAGCTTGTGCACCTAAATTATAGACGTGCTAATTCAAACAGCACTGACAGGCCAATTGTGAGCAGCAGAAGAGCTATGCCAGGTTTCGCTTGTTTATGCCCTTGAGCACTTGGCTCAGAGCTGTAGGTAGATGTGGAGGATTAAACAGTGCACAGTTGCCTGGAGATAGGTTTGCAAATATGTCTAATTGGATTTGTGTTACTGAGGAGGCAGGGGAAAGGTCGCTAACAGAACTGAGCAGGATTGGGACTAGATGGCCCCTCACCATTGTGGGAGAGCACCAAGCACTGCTGGCAGTCCTGTCACCCACCAGAGCCTTCTGGCTGACTTCTTCAGCAAGCTGTCCCTGCCTCGTAGGAGAGACTCTTCTCCAGAGCCACCCCTGAGAGAGTAGCCTTCCTGGGCTTTTGCCAGAAAGCCATCTGTTCCCAAAGACGTGTCCCAACCGACGCCGCCTCGTGTGCAGCCGCGTTCTGAGCCCTGGGGGTTTTTGGTGAGGCAGTCTCCTACAGGACAGCGTGGTGTAGAGGGGCAAATTGTGCAGCACCAGAGGATGAGTGCCCTGGTCCACGTGCTGCACGGAAAGAGCCTGAGCTATTTCTCTTTTCTCTCCACCATAACCTTGCCAAGTTCACCACCACATTGCTGTGACAAGAGAAAACAGTACGCTAAGCAAAAACTCAGCGTCAGTTGAAATACTACCTGTACTCTGATCCTTGGGAACTGTTTATTTTTATATTCTCTTAGCTAGAAGAGAAGCATCTGGGTGTTCTGGCTTCTGCTCAGTACCTCTTACAGCCTTCCAGTCTTCGCTTGGACCAAACCCAACCTCCTTCCCCTGCTCAAATGTTTCACTGCTGAACTCTCTCTGTCTGTCTCTCAATCACCACCACTCTCTCTGCCTATTTGTCTGTCTCTTGTCCTGCTCTGACCTCTTGAGATAGTAAATCTACTGCATTTTCCTCTCACATAAATTTTATCATGGCTCTTCATTTTTTTTTTCTGCTTGCTCTTGACTTATTCAAGTTGAAATTAATCTACATATTGATCAGTTATGTCAAGTCATAATGTGTTTTCTGCACTAGTGTGACTGTCAGTGCTTTGCAAACCAAAGCAGTGGGTTCATGAGGTTGTACCAGTAAGTACAGACATGTTACAGCTCTGGCCAGAAGTATTTCACAGTGGGCAGTGTTTACAATGGAGTAGGATGGTTGGATGAGATTTTTCGGAGTGGATTAGAGAGCAATATTTCTAGCAGTTGATGGATTCACGCTTTTCTTGTGTAGGAAGCACTATATTCTACAATCTTGACATTAATTTGGAGCTGAATTGTAATGTCTCTCTTACAGCATGAAATTTAGCAAAATGTAAGTGTAAAGTATGTGATTTTTCACGTACTTTTCTAGGATGGTTTTCCTTAGTAATGCAACAAGCATTGTGGATAAGGAGGTTGGATCTTTACAACAATCTCCTTCGTTAGAAGCCATTTTCTCTGATTCTTGGTCCTTAGTTTGCATTCGGAGAACATACAAGAACCTGAAGAAAGTCAAGATTTTAAAAGTTAAAATTTGGTCAGAAATTGACAGAAGAGATAAATCATTACCAGAGTTGAGTGTCTAGTGATTTCTGGCTAAATAAACTGATACTGATTTTAAGAAAGCAGTGGATTGATCCAAATCCTGGTTGAAGACCTAGACTTTCTGATTCGTGCAGTGAGACTGCAGCTGAGGTATAATAAAGAGAAGAAGCTGTTAGCTTACTGCAGGCTGGAAGCCCTAATGAGGAGGCAGATTTATTTATTTAGGTGAAGTCAAATGGTCTTAAAACATAGCTGGCCCAGACCACAAAACTCACTAGATTGTCTTGCTCTGTTTTTCTCCTAATAACTTCATATCATATTGTTGAGGAGACAACCAACAATGAGTAACTAATGAAATAGCGCTCCTCAAGCTTCGGGTTTTAATGAGAACATTCAGAAGATGCCAAAGGAGAGGAACTCCCCCCCATCTGCTCCTCTTTAAGACTCTGTGCAATAGTATTTCTGCGTAACTCGCAGCAGGGCTGCTGCTCTCAGCGTGGGGCGTGGAGATACTGCCGGCATGGGAGGTACTGCCGGCGTGGGAGAGTGCCGCTCCCTGGAAAATAAGCCGAGGGGAGGACTATTTGCTAATGATGCTGATTTCGCTGGTGCCAGGCAGTAGCTGCTTCTCCTGAGGGAGCAGAGTGGTTTCTCTCTCTGCAGTCCACTCCAGTCCATCAAGAGAGGGGCTGCTGATGGTCCATGGGTTTGATGGCAATGGGAGCCAGATAAACGGAGTGGGAGGAGGAGGAGGCGGCTTTTTCTTCTTCTGTGTGCATGTGAACGGTCACTCGCTGCTGCGCAGGACATACAGCTGTTCTGGTGCTTTTAGAAGTGAGTGTAACCATTTCGTCTGACTTTGACCTCTTTCCAAAAGAGTGACCTGTGAGTC